AAAACAGGATTGAAAGATTAAAAAGGGAGAAAGCTATTAGAAAATCCAACACCCTTGTTTCAGAAAGAAGACAGAAAATCAAGGAGAGGAAATAGTGAACACCAGGGCCGAGAAAGCTCTCAAGAGCGGAAGGGTGTGAGTGTCAGAGGAAAGGCCCAGAGTGCCCAGTGCAGTGCACAGCACAGCCCCTGGCCAGAGTGTGTGTGGGCACCCTGAGGATGCTGGGGACCACGGAGGCTCTCAGGCTTTCAGAAAGAAGCAAGTCTGGGGCAGAACTGGACCTGCAGAATGCACCCGCTTCCGCTGGCTGTGGTTGCCAGCCCCACCTGCAGAGCTCGGCAAGGGGGCTGCTGTCACTACTGGCAGCCAGGCAGTTGGCCAGGGGCAGCTCTGAAGGTCACCAGCCTGCAGACAGTGCTGCCCAGCCAAGCGGAGGCACTCACCACCCTCCACACTGTGGACCTGGCTGCCTCAGCCTGCCCCTGAAGCTGCTTGGGGGAGGAAGAATGAGGCTGCAAAGGCTCCCAAAGTCCCACCCTGGACTCCTGATCCCCAGATGGGCTGGGCAGTTCATCACCAGGCCCCCTCGGGACAATGCCCTCCGATCTGGGACCACAGCATCTGAGGGCGACCTCATTCCAGTCATAGCTGCCCTTCCACTGGGACCAATCACTTGGCCTACAGACCTGCCCAGGGAGCAGACTTCCCACAGTGAAGGGCAGGAACAGCTTCAGAACAGCACAGAACCAGGGGAAACCGTTCCCCTTTCCCAGGCTGAATGCTCCCTGGTGGTGTAGGCTGGGCACGGTGAGCTCCAAGATCAACCCACCGGCCTAGAAGCTCTACAGGCAGGGACAGTCTTTTTGCTTACCTACATGGGGCTTCATGAGTGGACTTAGAGCAACTGTGTTTAATGGTGATTTGATGGATGAAAGGTGGTAATTTCTACAAAAGAACATTAAAAGCCTAGCTCGTGGTTGCCCACACACTCTGGCCCTCTGGAAAGAACATGGGTCTGGACACTGGGTGTCTGCTGTGTGAGTGGAGATCAAAGAGCACCGTGTGTCTCGAGGAGTGAGGATCCTGGGGTGAGTGGGGTCATGGGGCCCCTCGCATGCTCTGAGGCAGGCCGGCGTCTCCAGGGCCCCCAGCACCTTCCAGGACCCAGAAGGCATCGTGCAGCTGGGAAGTAGGGCCCGAGTGTAACAGGCGCAGGCACAGACAGGTGAGCCTCTGCAATGAGCTAGCATCTAACCAGTTGCTGAATCCACAGGCAACATTTAGGATTTGCTAGAGCTGCTATTTGACAGCAGAGAGGACAAGCTCAGATTTGTTCCGGCTGAAAGGGCTCCTCAGCTGCTGCCTCTTAAAAATCCTCACTGACGCTCCCACTAGCTTCTGTGCTGAAAAACAATGTGATGTGATACATGTCATTCACATAGAACAAATATGTGGATGTGAAAATGTGAGTGTGTGCACATGTGCATGAGCAGGTGTACATACGTGTGGCTATGCCTGTGTGCATGTGAGGATCATCCCTGGTCCTCCTAGGCAGTCGGGGTGGGAGGTGGGAGGCAGCACCGTCCCTGACACCCACCGGGCCCCTCTGCTGGCCATCAGCCCATGGTTGCTGAGGGCAGGGCAGCTACACAGGGCTGGGGGGTCCCTGCTGCCGTGTGGTATGTGACCTACACACCAGCAGGGCCACAGGTATCTGTGATGTCTTCCTCTGAACCAACCACTTTAGAAAATGTGGCTCTGCACCTTTCATGAAAGGCCTGCAGGAAAAGCACTTCACACTCAGGAGGAACACAGAGATTAAAAGGAGAAATGGGGTCCATCCAAGACAGGAAGCTTTCTCATCTCCCCACTCGCTCTTCAGCCCTCAAGAGCTGTGTGGAGAGGAAGATGACAGGAAGGCCTCTGGCCTTAGCACTGTAGCAGCTCCTCCCTGGGGAGTGGGGTGGCCGTGTCTGCCTGGTGTCCAAGATACTTTCCTCAGGGGAGGGGTCTGCAGCCTGCCAGGGCCCCTGCTGTCCCACCCACATGCCAGACGGGCTGCCTGCCATGGTCCCAGGAAAATTAAGCACAAGTCATGACACATGTGCCCCCACTCAGAACAACACTGAGCTGCAAACATGGATGCTTCCCTGAGGTGCACCAATCCCGCTGTGGGCTACAACAGGAAACTGACCCTGAGAACACGGACACCTGAGAAACTGAAGCTACAACAGGAAACTGAGGCACGGCAATAAGACCCTGAAAACACTGCATCTGCCAAAAGCCTGGCGAGGTGGGGGTGGGGGTGGGGGGGCAGGCCACCCCTGCCGAGGCTGGGTGGGGAAGGGGCAGGGACGCTCCAGGAAGGAGGAGCTCTGGAAGAGAAAGCTTGGAAGGACATGTGCCGAGTACACAGAGTAAAACAGCCTAGCCTGTGCCCTGGCTGGGCAGAAGACCTTGTCCGCATGGTCAGTTGAGCCACCTCTCTCCTGAGAAGCTCAGGGAGACAGCCCAAGCTACAAACAACCCTCCTCCTGACCACTGGGCCTGACTGAGTCCTTTGCAAAAACGCCCGCATCACCCAGCTTCCCTGTCACCGCACACTCCAAGGCCCTCTCCCAGGTCCTTCCAGCAGATCCACTGGCTCCCAAATCCTGACCACAGCTGCTGCTTGGCCTGGACGAGGCCTGGCAGGCCGGCAAGAGTGGGCAGTACCTGCTGTAGGCCCAGCCCCAGGCTCTCAGCTGCTGCTCCTAGGAGAAGGCTGTGCTGAGAGGTGAGGGTAATCTGCTGGCATCTCCCAGCGCAGCCCTCTAAACACACGCTGGCCTGATTCCCATGAGTTAACCACAGAGGCCGTTTTTTGCACAGCTGCTTTTTCCAAACAAGATGGTGGGGATGAGAAGCTTTGACTTTGATGTAAAAGATATCAATGACAAAGGCCTTTTCTTAAATTGTAAAAATAAACCCTAAGCATGCCGGCCCACACAAATCTGACACATGCCTGGCCACACTCCCATCAACTGCAGAACGAAACACTTTAGGTGCCAAAAGGCCCAGCAGAAAGCAGAATGCCATCTCTGAGGGCGAGGCCATGTGGCACAATGCGGGCTCCTGCGTGGGCAGCCAAGGGCCAGGGCAAGCTGACCTTCCCACACCCTCTGCTGATGCTGGAAGCCACAGCTACAACTCCCCAAATTTAAGTCTTTTCTTAAATTGTAAAAATTTAAGAAAACAGGACCAACCTGCCTCACAAGGCATTTCAGACCCTGCAGGGTCAGGTACCAGCCACAACAGCCCAGACACTCTGCCACGCACGGCCTCTCCTGCTGTGCCTGCTCTCCAGAGGCCCTTCTCCATGATGACAAGGCGTGACCTCTGCTGTGGGCCCCAGCTCCCTACTCCCAGCAGATACACATTGAAGTCTGTCCAGCGCCTCATCCAGCCTTGGTCTTGGCAAGCTCCTGACCTGCCTGGAGTGTACTTCTGGGCCATTCCTTCTGTCTCGATAAATGCTACCCCTCTCTGAGGTCCCCAGGCCTGCTGCTCTGTGTGGAAAGGGTCTTCCTCACCAGGCAGGGCTGCTTCTGCAAGTTGGGGTATGTGGGAGGCATGTTTTGTTCATCTCTGCATGGGAAAAGCCAACTCCAGCTTCAGAGGGGCTCCCAGCGCCGATGCCTGATGAGCAGGTGATGGGGTCTGCCCCTCTGCCACTCTCCTCCTCCCCTCCCCTGCCCAGCAGCCATGCTGCCCTACAGCCACATTCCTCTACTTTACAGCCTCGAGTGCCTCCCATCCTCCTAGGAAAGAGACTGCACGCTCACCATGCCCCACCTCCAGCTTCTCTGACCACACCCACCCTCACACACAGCTTCCCCACCCCCATCAACTTGAAGATGCATGGAGATGCACTCCTGTCCAGCAGACACCCACTGTCATGGCACCGTGTGTACCTTACAGCCTGCGATGACACAGCCATGCCTTTATGTGAAGAATGTCCCCCAGGTCCTCAAGACACGGAAGACGCTAATGAAGACGGAGGGTGCATTGGTGCCCACTCATCATTCCATCTGTCTCCGTGCTCGGCCCTGAGGAGGTCCACAGCTCACATTCAGTATCTGAACACTTGAATGGCTGAATGGACACAAACCAAACCACTCAGAATTCGGCGGGTCCCAGAGAGGGCGATTTGTAAGGCACAGCCCGTGCATGAGGAAGGCTTCAGAGACACTGGAGGAACCTCAAATCTAGAAGGGATCACAGCGGCCATGTGAAGAGCACTTCCTGGGCCAGGGCTGGACAAAAGGCATCCCTTTTCCTGCTTTACTCTCGGCAACCCTGAGAAAGAGGGGTCATCCATGGGTGAAAATCGGAACCCTAGCGAGTGGGTGTGATGCAGCAGAGGCTAATGCCACAGTGGGTCCCAGGGGCCCACACCAAAGGTGTGTGGCGGGGAGAGCGTGCTCTCTCCCCTCCACCACCACTCCTATCTCACTGCAGGGCCGCTTGATGACCTCTGGAGCTGTCTCGGTCCCCTGTTCTCAGTTTCTCTGACCACCAGGAGAAAGCCTGGATGCCCAGGGCCTGGCCTGCTGCACACACTCAGAGCAGGAGTGGCCAATGCAGGTAAGCCATGGGCCTCCTGACACCACCCCGTGCCCACAGCCACCACCTCCTACAAGGGATTCCGGCAGGACACTTGGGTTGCCCCACAGCCACTTTTAATCCACACTGGAAATGGCAGCGCCAACGTAGGCACCAAAGCAGAGCAAGGAGTTTCAGCTGTGTCTCCCTGGAGACCTCTTGCCTGAGGATCCTGATGGATCCAAAAGGCAGGGGGAGAGGAAGTGAGCTCCAGAAAAGCAGCCTGGCCTGCTGCCCCTGAGAGGCCCCTGCTGTCAGCACTGGCTGGAGAGACGATGCCGAATAAAGGCCCATACCACCAGAGATGAGTGTCTCTGCAGAGAGGAACCTATGTGAGTAGGAAGTGACTTACAAAAAAAAAGCCCTTACAGGAAGGCAGCAGAGGAGCAAGTTAATTCCAGTCACCAACAGGGGAGCGCCCAGAGAAGGCCTCAGGCTGGAACGAGGGGACAGGAGGCCAGCAGTGGACGTGTCTCCCACACTCCCCTCCTCTGGAGAGGGCACATCTGAGCATGCACGCCTCACTGCTGAGGGACACACCTGAGCATGTCCACCCCCTCCCCAGGGGACACGCCTGAGCATGCCCACCTCCTCCCCGGGGGACACGCCTAAGTATGTCCACCTCCTCCCCGGGGGACACGCCTAAGTATGCCCACCTCCTCCCCGGGGGACACGCCTAAGTATGCCCACCTCCTCCCTGGGGGACACGCCTAAGTATGCCCACCTCCTCCCCGGGGGACACGCCTAAGTATGTCCACCTCCTCCCCGGGGGACATACCTGAGGGTGCCCACCTCCTCCCCGGGGGACACACCTGAGCGTGCCCACCTCCTCCCTGGGGGACACACCTGAGTGTGTCCACCTCCTCCCTGAGGGACATATCTGAGTATGCCCACCTCCTCCCTGGGAGACATACCTGAGCGTGTCCACCTCCTCCCTGGAGAACAGGAAGCTTTGCTCAGGAGAGCTGGACTGGGACTTTAGCATCTTCAGCTCCATCTCCAGCTAGAAGAAAGCAAAGGACAGAGGGTCAGCACACGCAGGCGGCCCCAGGCATGTGGGGAAGGCCAACCCCTTGCTGCACCCAGCCCAGGCCCTGAGACTGCCCCCTGGTAGCACCCAGTCCAGGCCCTGAGACCACACCCTGGTAGCACCCCTGCCCTGGGCTGGGAGCTGCAGGAGAGACGCACTCTAACTTTGCAAACTCAAGTTCTCTCACTTTTTCAGTGCTTTTGTCTCCCACTCCAAAGCCTGGCTCGCCCCATTATGAAGGGAGGAAGAAGGGCAGTATGGACCCAGGGAGGGGAGGACAGGTGCCAGCAGCGACCAGAGCAGCCAGAGGCCCCCATCGGTGAGGCTGCAAAGCCTGCCAGACCCCAGCGTAGGATGACTCAAGGGGGGACAACACCCACTGGGCTGGGGGATAACAGGGGCTGGGAAAACGGGTACTGGAGGGAAGGGTGCACAGTGTGCAAGGGGGAGGGATATGCCAATTACCCTGATCTAATCCATATATTACATGTACTAAATCATCACTATGTACTCCATAAATATGTATGATTATCATGCGTCCATTAACAAGATAGATCCACAGTCCAGACAACAAACATGGAAGGCCATGCCCTGAGCAGCCTCTCCCCAACTTCCAACCCCAGCCACCCACCCACCCCCAACCCCCAGCCAACCAGCATTCTGATGTTTGAGCATATGTTTCTTCCGCAGGCTGCTGGTGCACATGCGCACATGCCAGCAGCATGTCTGTGTTTTTCCTCCTACCCCACTTTATCTTTTTTTTTTTTTTTTTTAACAAAAATGGTAAGATGTCCTACACATCATTTGGTACCTTGCTTTTTCCACTACACACAGATACACACACACACACAAACACACACACCACACAGAGAGAGAGAGAGAGAGAGAGAGAGAGTGAGAGTGTGTGTGTGTGTGTGTGTGTGTGTGTGTGTGTGTGTATGTGAGTGAGTCAGTCTTGCTCTATTGCCCAGGCTGGAGTGCAGTGGTGTCATCTCGGCTCACCGCAGCTCCTGGGTTGAAGTGGTTCTCATGCCTCAGCCTCGCTAGTAGCTGGGATTACAGGCACCCACCACCACATCTAGTTAATTTTTATATTTTTGGTAGAGACAGTGTTTCACCATGTTGGCCAGGCTAGTCTCAAACTCCTGACCTCAGGTGATCTGCCTGCCTTGGCCTACCAAAGTGCTAGAATTAACAGGTGTGAGCCATGGCGCCTGGCCTTTTCTTCTATTTTCTAACTTATCTTTGTATACATGATTTTACATTTTTGTTTCCCGCCCCATTCCCTAAATTCCAATTGACTGCAGCAGTTTTCAGTTGATTCTTTTGGCACACAGTCATATCAGCAGCAAAGAGCGACAATTTTCCTCCTCTTTCCCAATATTTATATCTCTGGTTTCTTTCCCTTGTCTAATCTGGATGCTAGTATCTCCAGAATAATCTTAAATCACAGTTGTAATGCTGGACATCCTTAAGTGGTCTGTGGCTTCACTGAAGCTGAAGCTAATCCTTTCTTATTTACAGTACATCACCTTTTGCTTGAAACAGGTATTTTCTATTATGCTGAGAAATTACCCATATGTTCATACTTTATTAAGAGTTTTTAATCAAACCTGAATGTTGGATTTTGTCACATGCCTTTTCAGCAAATATGAAAAGGCAATTCTAAAAATTAATATCCTAAAATCAAGCTAACAGGCTGGTCCTGCAATAAATCCTACTACATATGGTGTGTTTTAACATGCTGCTGAATTTCTCCCGACACGTTAACACTGACGCCAATACACGTATGTGTGCGCACATGCATGCACACACACACACGCACACACACACACACACAGGCACTGGCATGTGAGGCCTTTGCAGTTGTTGGTGTCAACACGATACTCACTTCCAGAATGCCTTCCCTCCTTTTCCCACAGTCTGAAACGGTTTACACACAGTGTTGAAAGTATCTGCACTTTGAAGTTCTGGTAGAATTTCCCATGACACTGGCTTGGCCTGATGCATCTTCTGTCTCTTTCCTTTTGCGGTTGGGGAGAGCAGCCCTGGCAACTTCGGGACAACTTTTTTGAAATGTCTCTCTTTTGGAGTTGGGGTTGATAAATAACATTTCCCTAAAAAGTTATTCATTTCTAAAGATTTTTAAATTTGCAAATGGAATTGAGATATAATTAAATAACACTTCTCTAAAAAGTTATTCATTCCCTACAGATTTTTAAATTTGCAAATGGAATTGAGATATTAATTTATTAATATAATAATTTTTATAGAATTCAGATAGAACTCATAGTTCTTTTCAATTTTTTAATTTTTGCTTTTATTTTACCATTCAGATACATAAAATTTATAGGCAGTAAAGTGCTGAATCTTATGTGCACAGCTTGATGACTTTTTATACATGTCTACACCTATGTATCCACCGTCCAGATCAAGACACAGCATTCTCAGCACACCCAAAAGTTCTCTCACGCTCCCGCTCAATCAGTAACTCCAGGCAATTAGTCTTGTTTCTTATTTGGGATGGTGATACTGCCTATCAATTTTTCATTAGAACTGTGAATAATTCATATGTTTTATTAGCTTTATTTCAAATAACAGGTATTTGAATTCATTTATTATATCTACCATTTTTCACTTTCCTATTAACTTCTGCTTTAATCTTTAAAAATTCCTACCTTTTAGTTTTACTACAGTTTATTTTCCCTTTCATTCTCTGACTTCTGGGGGTGAAGGTCTAGTCCATATATTTGTATGCTTTCTTGCTCAATGATACAAATATTTAAACTTGTGAATTTAGATGTTTCCCACAGGCTCTGATGAGAAATGTTTTCATGACAATTATTTTTCAGATTTTATGCACTTTTGAATCGTAGTTCTTTTAACCAATAATTGTTTAAGACAGTGTTTTGTTCTATTTGGGTTTTGTTTTTTAATTTCCAAGTGTTAGGAGGTTTTTTTTTCTGGTTTTGTTCTTGATTTCACATTTTACCACACTGCAATCACAGGAGGTTGTATTAGTTCTACTTATTTTAATTTATAAAGGCTTTCTCTATTACCGATACATAATCTTTGTGAATGTTATGTTCTATGCTTCTCTTTAACATGAGTATATCTCTAATTTGGGAGATAGGAGTTTTAGATATACATGTATTTTTCTGTTTTTCCATTATTCTTTGCCCACTTGATATACAGCAGATTAGGACATAAAATAAATTCTGCTACTGGCGTCTTTGACAATATCCCCTTGAATCTCTCCTCATCTTTGCTTTTCCCAACAGCAGTGACGTGTTATTTGGCTAATCCATCCACACCTCACTCTGAAGAGTGCCCACCTTTGTTTCTGAGAGGCTTCCGGCCTGAACTCATGCTACATCGAGAGCATAGCTCCTGCTTTCCAAGTTCACCTCACCAGAATGCCTTTGCTTCCCGTATTTTCCAACATGTTTGGTTTTGCTTTGCAATCCAATCAGGAAGTCCTTTCCTTTTCATAGGAGAGTTTAGTTCATCTATATAACTTGATTTCTAGTTCTGTTGTATTATGTTGTTATGCTTTCAATTTTATAGCTTTTACATCTATGTCATTCTGTGGCCTTTTTAATCTAGTTTACTTTTTTACGTGTAATTCTCTCAAGGCTTAGAAAAGTGTGCATGTTTTATTCTGACTGCTTTTATTATTCACACCTATACTTTGCTCTTAGACAGTACGTCTTGTATCTCCTATGTTGAGTGCCTGACTAGTCAGATATATCACCCTTACTGTTTCACTTTATACGGTCTGTGACGGTTCATTTCACGTGTCCACTGGACGGGACCTGGGGCACTCGGATCAAAACATTTTCTGGGTATGTATGGGAGGGTTTCTGGATGAGATCAGCATTGGAATCGGGGACTCAACAGACTGCCCTCCACAGCATGGGCAGGCCTCCTCCAACCCCTTGAGGGCCCAAAGGAATGAAAACTGGAGGGGGCAAGCGTTCCTCCCTTGACTGCCTGGTGGCCTGAGCCAGGGCAGCTTCTGTTCTCTGCCTCAGGCTGCGCTGGTTCTTAGGCCTGCAGAGCTGGACTGAGTCATACATGGACTCTTCCAGGCCTCCCCTGCGCAGATGCAGACCATGGGCTTCCCAGCCTCCATTACCACAAGCCAGGTCCTCACATCAATCTCTCTGGATGGACCAGTCTACTGCCTCTGGTTCTCTAGAGAACCTAATATGCAGCTCTATCTACTCTCCCTACCTGATGCTGTCTTTAGATGTTGTGTCTTCATCTTTGGCTCTCAATGGTGAGGATGCCATCCTCATGTTGTCTCCTCCCTCTGTCATCTTGACATTTCTTTTTGAATCTCTGACATGTGGCAGTTACATTTCCCACTTCCGCCTTCACTTCATCTTCCAGTTCAGGAGATGGAACTCTTGCTGCTGGGGTTCTTTTCCATAGTTTCTCCCCTGATTCACCTCCCTGTGCTTCTTCCGGTCACCTTCCTTCCCATGCTGCCCCCGTCCTGCCCTTTGAGCTTCCAGGTCCCGTCTCATGCACCCTCCGGCCTCACCATGTGCGTTCCACCGAAGCCTCGCAGACTCTACTGCCTCATTAAATTTTATTTCTTGACAAAATGTCTGGATACAATTTTCATCTGCTCAGTGTCAACCGTTTTGCTGTGAAAGATTTTCTGCCGCTTGTTTTTCTTCTTTTTCTCCTTTGCTCTTACACAAATGCGTGGAGTGACCTTTACTGCTAACTGCTGAAGATGAGTTTTATTGAATCTGGCTCTGTGCACAGGTTCACAGTGGGGAAGGAAGGGCCTGCTTCCTTTTATCTGAAATCCAGTGACAGTTTTGCTGCAAGTCCAATCAGCCTCCAGTAGCTCCCTCCGGCAGGAGAGAAGGGACACTGAGAGTTTTCCTAAGAGCAAATGTTCTCCTCTCCTCTCTGCCAGAGATGTGGCTTCAAGCACATGTCATGTACTTGTGTGA